TACAATTGTAGCGTCATACATGCAGCTTTAATACCCTGCAAAAGTTATATACCGTCTAGCATACTTAGTTTCTTCAAAAGTAACTACATATAAGACATTAAACATACAAGTTTATAGACATGCGTAAAAAACATAAAAACGACTTGGTTTACGTACCGGAATATCAAAGTTGTCCGACCTTTGAGGATAATTTGGCGTATAAATGCAAGATAATCGCACTTAGCTTGTCTTCTCATAGTTCTCATAGATGTAGGCTTCCCCGTGCTAGAAGAAAACAGCAAGAGATTAGCAAATTTACCGGAAATAGTCACACCAATGAGAGCCGGCGTTCCGGTGTGAAAATCGGCGTGTTTCACGACAAAATGGCGCCTATAATCCAAATGCAGTATGCAAGATTGACATCAAGTGAATTAGCCAATCACATTCAGTCACGTGCAGTTCTATGCTGATGCAAACCATGAAACGCGGGCCCTTTTTAAAGGGGCCATTCACCGCCTAGCCCACTCAGAGCCCCTTCACTTAATTCACCTACTAAAATTAGTTTAAAGATCACTCTTATCCAGTGAATATTATAAATTTTGGTTTAATTTTCTTCTCTGATCCCTCAAATATACAGATGTACACCAGGAAATAACTTCTGCAATAGTTATTAGCCTTAATTAAATTCTGACGGGGTTATCCCCTCCTAGCCCCTTCTCAGCCGCGCCTTCACGGCGGGGCCGTGTGTTTCAAGGGAATCTACCCCTCCAAAACAGGCCGACGATTCATGCATCAACCGACGCATAGAGTAAGATGGAATTTATAAACATGTCAAAGAACGATGGAAGAGACGAGGGCCACACAATACAGACTGACAGAAGCCACAACTATTACTCAGCTGTCACACCACATGACTATTGATTTTTTCCGCACTTTTGAAATTTTGGAGTTTCGTTACACATTCTCGTTAGTGCGAAGGTGAGCTGAAGGATGTGTCTCGAAAATTCACTAATTAAATTTATTTTTTTATTCCAAAGAACATCTTTTCTTCAAACGAACTTTCTTGGGATGCATGATTTCCAAAATAAAAGTATGTCAAAGTTGTGGATAAAT